TGGTTCAACCACTCTTGTAGGGCAAACCTTAATAGTTTGTGGGTGTCAATATTTCCGAAAAAGAATTACTTTGTCAATGTCTCCTGATGACCCACGTTAAGTTTCTATGGCAACAAACTAATCTTTGTCAGTGCTGGTATTAGGAAAGGAGAAGAAATCTGTGATAACTATGGTGTATCATTTTTCAATTACACTAGAGAAGAGCGAAAGGTATGCCTCAGGCTTAGGACCTTTAATAGTTTTTATTTTTTTTTTGACGCAATGAAAATGTTCCAGAAATTCTTGGCAGGACGCGGATTCACTTGCCATTGCTCCGTTTGTGTCACTAACGATTCCATCGATAACTTGTTAGAATCAAGCATTGAAAATCCGAAAGTTGGTTGACCATTCTACAATGAAGTATTATGTGCCTGATTGTGACCGGACAACTTTCAGTTAGTTCCCGAATCTATTTCAACTGTTGGAGACTTCAAACAATTAACAAATTCAATTCCTGATGGACACAAAAATATCGAAACCATTGCACAAACATATGCCAAAGCAGCGGGTAGCACAGGTGATAATCATTTTTTTACCGTTTTTTCTTTCTCCTCTCTCCAAACTGTTATTTTTCCAAGATCCCAAGCTGCAGCTGTTCCTATACGAGCAGATTCTAGAGTGTCAGCGCCGCCGTGGTTTGCATTTTTCACCTGAGCAGAGTATGTAAGAAGTCGCTGTTACCAATGATAATTTTTCCAATAGCTGTCATTATCTCATATTTAGTTCGGACACACCTCAGCTGTGCCTTGTCAAGTTATGATGTCATGCGCAAATCGTGAGTTTACATTCAAACTCCTGGTAAAAAAATACCTTCTAGCTCGAAAAAACATCCTGCTTATATTAATCTTATTTTTATATAGTCGGCTAAGTGTGTCCGTTGGTTGTTTGCGTGTGCGTGTATGTGTGTGTCTGACGGAAATTCATAACTACTGTTTCCCGTGAGCCTGAAGCGTTCAAATTTTGTAACAGTACAGGCGAGAGGATGGGAACACTTTTGGTGGGTGGCAGGACCGGACTCCGCCAAAAGGCGGCGAGGTTTGTAAGAAATAAATGTTTGAGCGAAGAAACAGTACTCCTGTCCCCGTGATCCTAGAGCACTCAAACTCGGT